TATAATATAATATATATATTATATATATATATATTATAATATATATTATATTATATATATATATTTTTTTTTTTTTTTTTTTTTTTTTTTTTCTTTTTTTTTTTTTTCTTTTTTCTTTTCTCTTTCTTTCTTTCTTTTTTTAGATAGAACTTTAAACTCTAAATTTTTTCAAAATTTGTTAGAACTTTAAACTTCTAACAAATTTTGAAAAAAAAAAATCTCAAGACGTAATGAATCAAACAAAAAATGATTTTAGTCCTCAGTCCAATTCTATAAATATATATATCTACAATTCAAAGTATTCATACTTTTAAAAAAATAAATCTTGGGCATAAACAGAAAGAACACAATTATGGAACACAACAAACGAAGTTACGAGTTATAAGAGGGTTGAAATCAGGGACGGAAAGGGAGAGGCCGACCAACCCTGCGGCCTAATACGTAAAGTTCCCCCACAGACATGTTCCCAACACGTCTACTTGTATACGGGAACAAATTTGTTGAATTAGTATGTGCGGTCGGTTAAAAAAAAAAATGTGCGAGGCCCGACCCAATGAATATTCATTATACGGACTGACATACTCTCAATAATAAATATATAATATTCATTATACGGACTGGCATATTCTCAATAATAAATACATATCTCTTATTCTAGACATGTATATCTGCCGGATAGGTAGGTAGACACAGGTTTATCTATCACATAGATATGTATTTGTTTTTGTGGTTATGTATGTCCTTTTATATGAATATTATATGAATGTATGTCCTTTTATATGAATATTATATGAATGTATGTCCTTTTATATGAATATTATATGAATGGTCAATATATTGAAAGAATTTTAAATAGAGAGTATTGAAATAGAAATTGATTGAAAGTTAGAAATCAGAATAAAAGAAAATAAGAACCAAAGAAGAATAAAATAATTTCACTCCAAAACTGCCTACAAAAATTATCCTTATAAAAGTTTATTATTTATTTATTTTTTTTTTCTTATTCTCCATGATTCACATTCCTTTCACACCAGAAATTCAAAACACAAAAGGTAGTAAAGAAAACACTTCTTTTAAACTATTTCTCTTTTACTCAAAGTTCAGCTGGCTGGTACAGAGCAGTGTGGGTAATACTACATCACAGTCAAGTTTTCACACACACACACTGAAAGAAATCCACACATGGGTAGCTTCAACCGTGTGAGTTTTTTTTTTTTTTTACAATTATATTCCTTTCAACTCCTTTGCCATTTTTTTTATTTGATTAGCTATTCATAGATACCTCATTCCCTTTTCAGTTTTGTAACATGTCCCCCTCCCTCCCGCGTTCCTGGTCAATTACATATATATATACATTTCTTTCCACTTCAGTTATTTCCAAGACGTATATTTTTAACCCTCACAATTTTTTTTTTCTCTCTTTCACAGTATGATTTTCCTTTCAATGCTCCAAGTCAACAAACTGTCAACTTTTTTTTTTTCCTGATTTCCAGTACACTTGCCTCTTAATATCTCTGTTCTCGAAATATCTCGTATAAAACTGGGAAGGTTTAAAATCTTACATCTCACAATCAGATTTACCTTTGATTGAAAAGCTAAAAGTATTTACATCATCTTCTATTTCACCTTCACCACACAGCTGATGATCCCATGTATGTCAAAAAAAATAATAATGGTAATAATAATAATAATATACACAACAATCCACTGTTCATAGTTTACAAGAGAAACAAAATACCTTCGTGAACTTAAAAAAAAAAGAGTTGATAAAAATAAATCACACTCACCAAAAAAAAAAAAGGAAAAAAAAATGGATTAAATTCACTAAATCATAATTTTCTTCTTATAAAGAGACTGCACTTTGCACTTTTCCATTCACTTAAGAACAGCCAATCACATACTCAAAAATATACAAAATAATAACAATGTTCCACGCGGGTTAAAAGACCACATTTCTATTGTAACTACGATAAGCCAAGTTGCAACATTGCAATAGATTGAAAGCAATTGATTGTGCATAATTGCAAGAAAAATGGAATAAGTTTTATGTGTGCGAAGTGTTGTGAGAAAGATGCAACATACAGAATGGAGGATTATTATCTTTTGAATGTGTACATCGATACGCACACACAAACATATATGTGTGTACGTATGCATGTACGTGTATATATACCTGAATGTATATATACTTGATTTTTTTTATCTGTAATCCTTAGAAATGAGATTTTCGAGGCGTAACAGGCACCCAAAGGGAGGGACAAATTGGTGTAATGAGACATGATATCCTGTAAATGAAGTAGAGAGAGAGAAGAGGGGGAGAAGAGAGAAGAGAGGATAGAAGATAGAGGAGAAAGAAGAGAGACGGAAGGGAGGAGAGAAGAGAGAGAGAGAGAGAGAGAGAGAGAGAGAGAGAGAGAGGAGAGAGAGAGAGAGAGAGAGAGAGAGAGAGAGAGAGAGAGAGAGAGAGAGAGAGAGAGAGAGAGAGAGCAGAGAAAGAGAGAAGAGAAGAAACGAGAGAGAGAGAGAAATGAGAGAACGAGAGAGCGAGAAGACGAGAGAGAAGAGAAGAGACGAGAGAAAAAAAAAAAAATAACGAGAAGAGAATAGCCACAGGTGGACATCACAGGTAAAGTCATCAAGATCAAGTGACACATTAGTCAAGATTGAAGTAAAGAACAAGATCAGTTTCACAGTATTACACAACAGTAGTAAGGTTACTGCACAGCACCTGACATTTTTTTTTTAATTCACTTTGTTTTAGCACAGTAACCTTCCAACCCGAAAGAAGAGGAAAGGATGGGAGATAAGTATATATTTTCCTTTTTTTTAAACCTTTTTACCTTGAAGCTCAATTGATTTAGTTATTCATTTCAGAGCGAGGAAAAGTACAGGGCAATAAGGATGAGATTCCGAAAGTTTTCTTCTTTTTCTTTTTTTTTTTACCTGAATAGACTACAAGACAAAAATAATCCTTTTGACTACCTTACAATGTTTCATTTCTCTAAATCTTGTTTGTTGTTCGATCACTCTGTTACGTATTCTCATTTCGATCAATAAGGCTATTTGTCTCGGGGGTCAAAATTCCCTTCCATTTTTTTTTTTTTATCTTTCTTATCAGCGGTCTCTCTACTAAGCTCACCTAAAATTTTCTTCGTCCAAATGCTATTTAGAACACTGGCACTAATCCTATCTTTTACCTACAGTGCCACCTAAGGGCCAAGAGGATGCCCGCTCGTTCCTAACTCCTTAGTATGAAATTTTTTTCAGTCATACACTAAACAAAATATTTCAGAAAATAATCAATTCAGACTTCAGGAAAATCAACATCATACACAGAAAGGTAAATACACCCACAAAAAAAAAATCTCTGAACAGAATTATACAAATGTGACATAAATGCAATTCCAAAAAAAAAAGTGTTTGATACAGACAAATGAACACCATTTTTTTCTTCTTCTTACAAAGTGTATTAATAAAAAGGAATACTGAATTAAAAAAGAAACAGCTATTGCCCAACCATTCATTTTATTTTCAGAGCAATTTATCCCTTGAAGCAAGTCTGTGGAACAACACTGCCTCAACTTTTTTTTTTACTCCTAGATTCTATGTTATTTCAAATTTTCTAAGTAATTTCACCTCCAACCATTTTCTTATCGTGAATACTAAAGGTGTACCCCTTTTGTGTGGGTGGGGGAGGGGAGGGGACTAAGGGGAGAGGGGAGAGGAGGAGGAGGGGAGGAGGGGGAGGGAGGGGAGGAGGAGGAGGAGGGGGGGAGGAGAGGGAGGGGAAGGAGGAGGAGGGAGGAGGGGGAGGGGGAGGAGAGAGAAGAGGGGAGGAGAGGGGAGGAGGAGGAGGATGAGGGGAGAGGGGAGGAGGAGGTAGGAGGAGGAGGAGGGGGAGGAGGAGGAGAGAAGTGAGAGGAGGAGGTGGGGGAGGAGAAGAGGAGAAGGAGAAGAAGGGATAGGAGGTGATTAGCAGGTAGGACCACTTTTCACTTTGCTGGGAGGACAATAATAATTACTTTAGATAAGGTACAGTGTGTTTTATTGTTCCCGGTCCAGTGTGCGCTGATTGAACAGACGCGCTACTGTTGCTTCACTTGCTTCATGTTTCCCTTGCTTCACTGTAGCTCCTGTGTAAAATTGTTTGCTTCTTTTTCTTCACTTCAATTCTCTTTCTTTCTTTCTTTCTTCCACTATTGAGTTCAACATGATCATCATCATCATTATCACCTTCATATCCAATCGTCAATCAGATATCAGTATCATATTGCAACGACACACCACACGCACAGACACACACACACACACACACACACACACACACACACACACACACACAACACACACACACACACACACACACACACACACACACACACAACACACACACACACACACACACACACACACACACACACGCCAGTCAATATCCCTTGTAATTATGTATACACAAACTGGAACCCTCACGCACCCCTCCATCCGCTCAAAAAAACGCACACACTCTCACTCACGAAACGCACACAAACTGTAGGTGAAGAAGCATTCGTAATATAACCGTACTGAAACTCCTCTCTTGGACACCTTTCCTTCGCATTCATAGAGCGCCCAAGAGTCCGTTTAACGCTACGTCCTTACACTATCTATATACAACACTATCACAACGGTTGGGATAAAATTCAGATGGCCTTCATCGGCCCTCATCAAATATATATATATATATTTATTTATATACGTTTCTCATCTGTCAAGCATCATCAGTGTTCATCACCACACCATGGACAGGGTCATCCCGAGTTTCTCTCTTTGAAATATTGCTGTTCAATTGTTCATTTGTCCCTTTTTTTAAAGTCATGAACTCGAGGAACGTTTTTGTCCGACACTGCCATGGGGCTTCGAATGAATGTTTCTCGCGCTCGTTCCGGTTTCAGACGCTCGACTCGGTGCTTCGGGAGAGGGTTCGCTCGGGTCTGGGGGACAGGGGGGGGGGGGGGGGGGGGGAAGGGCTTCTAGGGACGTCTGAAGAACTGCGGAATGATTCGATAAAAAATAAAAAAAAAGGAGGGGCAATTGAAGCGTAATTTAAGCACATTTTTTTTTTTCTTTCTGCTTGTTGCAGAATCGTTCGAATAAATCAAAATGGTTGTAATGAGAGTATAAAATGATTATGTTTAAAATAACAGGGGAGTTTTAGCGTCTCGACTGTTCTGAATCTGGAAACACATCTGGCTGCAGGTCCTTTATCTGGGATCCGCTGCGTCTCACGGACTGGGAGATAACCGAAGCATGTCAAGGTCTCTGCGTCCTGCACTGGGGGCTTCGGCTCGGGGACTCTCCCAGGGAGCGCGAGCGCGAACGCACGCAGCCAGGAGCCAGCAGACGTCGGAGGCGCTGAGAAGAGGGAGTCTGAGCGAGGCCCCGAAGGGCGCTCGAGGCCGCCCTCCGCACCGAGCAGCAAAAAGACACTTTAGAGGAGGCGTTTGTGGTGACGTCATCACCTCGATCTCGGAGCACGGGGCAGCCAGCGCCTCGCCGCGGGGGCGCGCGGGGGGCGGGGGCTGCGCGCGGGCGCGGGCGTGGATCAAGAGAAGCAGCAGAGCTTCCTCCAGCCGCGCTTCCTGGCGGTGTCGTCCGTGTAGTCGAGGGCGTGGCGGCCGTCGCGGTGGTTGAGCGGCTCGCTGGCGCCGTCCCGCGCGCCGCCGCCGCCGCCGCCGGCCTTGCGGTGCCGCGACGAGAAGGAGCGCTTGGAGGAACCGCCCCGGGACAGCGGCGGGCTGTTGCGGGCCTCGAGGGCGGCGAGGATGGCCTGGTCGAACACTTCCTTCAGGTTGCGCTGCGTCAGGGCCGACGACTCCACGTAGCCCACGGCGCCGATCTGGTGGGCCAGGCGCCGGGCCGCCACCTCCGTCACCGGCTGCTCGCGGTACTGCGCCAGTTCTATGAGGACCTGCGGGGGAAGACAACGAGACATGATAAAATGAGAAGAGAGGAGAGAGAGGAGAGAGAGAGAGAGAGAGAGAGAGAGAGAGGAGAGAGGAGAGAGAGAGAGAGGAGAGAGAGGAGAGAGAGAGAGAGAGAAAGAGAGAGAGGAGAGAGAGACTGAGAGAAAGAAAGAGAGAGAAAGAGATAGATAGAGAGAGAATGGATAGCTAAACCCAATCCAACACAGAAACCAAACCCCAGACACAATTTCTCCTCAAAAGGACCCCCTCCCCCTCCCACCCCCCCCACCCCTCCCCACCTACCTCAAAGGCAAACCTACCCCAAGCACCTTTAAATCTACCTTAAAATCCTTCCTTCTTACCAACTATTCTTTATAATTACTACAGGAAACTAAGATAATTAAGTTCCACTTGTTTGTACCTTTGTCATTAATTATTTCAACGTATTTCATCTATTTGCACTCTATTGTAATTATATTATTTGGTATGTTATGTCATCTTCTGGTTGCACTTTTTTTGTAAATATTTCTATTTCTGTTGTTTTTTGTTATTTACTCTCGAATTTTTTCTATAATATATATTAAGTATTTCCTGTTTATGTAATCATTCTTAACCTTTGTTTGGCATAATTATGTTCCTTTTAATTGTACGTTTTATTGTTGTAAAATATATCAAGTTTTTATTATGTGCTCTTCCTCTTCCAATATTGTTTCAAGTAAATCTATAACTGTATTTATTCTACTGTGGGTCTATTTCCTGTATTTTAAAGATTATACATGCACATATATATATTTCTTTTTTTTATTAAAGCTTTTTGAGGTGCTCAGAAACATTTAAAAAATCCCCGTTAGACTACAATCATTGTATATGAAAACACTTGTAACTTACAATTCCAATATCCATTTCAATTTCATAAACTTTTTCTAAGCACCCACCCCAACCCTCGCCACCCACCCCTACCCCTCCCCCATCCTACCACCCTCCCATCCCTCACCCCTCCTACCCACCCTCTCCCCCTCCCCTCCCTCCATCCTACCACCCAACCCTCCACCCACCCTCCCTCCCCACCCTCTCCCTCCACCCCCACCCACCCACCCACCCCCACCATCCCTCCAAACCCCACCCTACCTTCACATCTGTCCTGAGGTCGCTCTGGGTACCGACGAGCACGATGGGCACGCGGGGGTTGTGGTGGCGAAGCTCCGGCAGCCACTTCTCCCGCACGTTGTGGAAGGACGTGGGCGACACGACGCTGAAGCACACCAGAAAACACGTCGGTCCGGGGTAGCACAGCGGCGGAGGGTCGAAGTCATCCTGCAGGGGGGGAGGGGAAGGGGGAGAGGGGGGGAAGAGAAGGGGGGAAAAGGGGGTTAAGAATGGTATATATTGTGCTATATTCCTTATATTACTTGTCTATTTTATTTGCTTCAATGATTCACTTACATTCTAGGTATATCTACTTATTTATTAATTATCACTTATATTTCTAGGTTATCTACTTATTATCTTAATTATCACTTACATTTCTAGGTTATCTACTTATTTACTTAATTATTACTTATTATTATATTCTCTAGTGCTTATACATACTGATTCTCTTTTCCTTGTCATAGAGATCAGCATATTTCTTGTTTACTTATCAAGTTATAGTAACTGTGTGTGTGTGTGTGTGTGTGTGGTGTGTGTGTGTGTGTGTGTGTGTGTGTGTGTGTGTGTGTGTGTGTCGTGTGCATGTGTGCGTGTGTGTGTGGCAAATGTGCGTGCGTGCGTGTGTTCCAACAATTCAAAACTTGGCAGAGAGAGAAAAAAAAGAGAATTCTGACCAACAAAACTAGTTTAATCAACCTTGCACGACCCATTCCCGAACATTCAGCTCATTACACTTGTCAACTCAAACATCAGCGTGCCAATGTGTGTGCGAGAACACGACTGTGGACTCGCATGTGTACGTCTGTGTACGCACCGAACGAGTGCATGAGCGTGGACGTGTGCATGTGACTGCATTGTGTAAGAAATGGCCAAAGAGGCTAACGTCAGTCACTATCATAACCCCTCCCCTTGCCAAGACCGCCCCCCTCCCCCTCCCCCCTCCCCATCCCCCTCTCTCCCTCTCCACCCTCTCCCCTCTCTCTCCCTCTCCCTCTCTCTCCCTCTCCCCTCTCTCCTCCCTCTCCTCCTCTCCCTCCCTCTCCCCTCTCTCTCCCTCTCCCCTCTCTCTCCCTCTCCCCCCTCTCTCCCTCTCCGTCCCCCCACCCTGCACTCTCCCCTCCCCACCCTCCCTCTCCACGACAGACAGGTGTGTGGGGAACCCCTCCCTCCTCAAATGCCAAGTTCCCACAACTACCATGCACTCCCAAAGCCTTCCTCCTCCCCACCCCACCCCCTCACACTGCCCCCCCCCCCGCCAGCCCACCACCCACCGGAACCCCCCACATTTACCCAAACATCAAAACAAAATAAATTCAATCTCCTTTTTTTTTTTTTACCTCTTTAATTAAATTTTTAATGGAGGGAGGGAAGGAGGGGGAGGGGAAGGGGGAGGGGGAACACTACCCCCCACCACCCCCACCACCCACCACCCACCACCCCCGACATTACAAATTGCAGGTAAAAAGCATTTATCAAATTCCTCCGCTATGACTCACACTACAGGAACGTACACCTCTCCCTTCCCCTTTCCCCCCCCCCACCCCCCGCCACAACCCATAACACCCTAACCCAGTACAGACAGCTGGTCGTAATAACCGCTCTTATGACGCATGCACAAAAGGGCGGTAACTCGAGAGCTTGCGGTACATGCGGTTGCAACTGCGCATGCGTGACGTCGGCGAACAGCGTTGCAAAGGACGGACTCGTCTGGCGAAACAATGGCTTCCAGAGAAAAAAAGGACATAATAACTCCGTCCATCTTAGGAACGCATTAAAATCTCAGACGCGATATTAATCTCTTCATTAATACCACGTGACTGCAAGAAGGGGGTTAACTACCACGTGCAAGAGAGAGACATAAACACGACAGGGACACGGAAGCGGGCGGTGTTGGCAACCCTGGCGCGCGTAACACGTGGTGGTCCACTTGTTCGCTCCCGAGTGTTTGGTTTCCCCGCCGTGGATTCGGCTTCTGCTTCGTGTTTTGAGCTTTAACCCGAGTCATATGAGACATTTTTATCCCTCCGATTCCTTCTAAACGACAAACAAACAAATTACATCGCAAAAATGTGAAATATTTACAATATCAACAACACAATAACATATAACAACAATACAAATAAAATAACAATACAAAAAATAACAACAACAATAACAATAACATCAAAATAAAAAATAACAACAACGAAACCCACGAAGCCCCCAGCAGGGAAAGAGGAAGCGCCATAACCCCGTCTCCACCTTGCATAACTCCGCATCAACACTGCAAATCCGAATGCAAACTTCCGCGTCATTTCAGCTCTCTGGCGCACCGGATATTAACGAATAAAATAGAATACTGCGTCACGTTTACTGGCGATTGCATATGCGATAGAGGAGAATGCATGGCCGGTAATTTACCTACTGACAATAGGCAATCCAGATGCACACCTGCTTGTATACTTATTATGAATAAACAAACACACATGCACGCACACAAACATATATATATAGAGAGAGAGGGAAGGGGGGTAGGGGGGAGAGAGAGAGAGAAGAGAGAGAGAGAGTAGAAGAGAGAGAGAGAGAGAAGAGAGAGAGAGAGAGAGAGAGAGAGAGAGAGAGAGAGAGAGAGAGAGAGAGAGAGAGAGAGAGTTTGATAGATATAGATATATAGTTTTTCATCTTCCTGATATTCCTCCGTCCTCCTCCTCTCCTCCTCTCATCCTCCTCCTCCCTCCTCCTCCTCCTCCTCCTCCTCCTCCTCCTCCTCCTCCTCCTCCTCCTCCTCCTCCTCCTCCTCCTCCTCCTCCTCCTCCTCCTCCTCAGGACCGGAACACCCAATCAGTGCACACACGAACCCACACTGGGTAACGGAAGCGACACCTAACGACACTCGGAGAAAAATCGTTTCAGAGAGAGAGAGAGAGAGAGAGAGAGAGAGAGAGAGAGAGAGAGAGAGAGAGAGAGAGAGAGAGAGAGAGAGAGAGAGAGGAGAGAGAGAGAAGGGAGGGAGAGGGAGAGAGGGGGGGAGGGAGAGGGAGAGAGGGGGGAGGGAGATGGAGAGGGAGAGAGGTAGAGAGGAAGGAGGGAACGAAGAAGGGGAAGGGAAGGAAGGGAGAAAGGAAGGAGGGGAGGGAGGGGGAAGGAGGAATAGGGAGCGAAGGAAGGCGAGGGGGACAGCAGAGAAGGAGGGCGTGAGGAAAAGGAAGGGAGGAAGAGAGAGAGGTCAAAATAGATGAAAAAGATAGATAGAGAGAGAGAGAGGAGAAGGGAGAGGGGAGAGAGAGAGAGAGAGAGAGAGAGAGAGAGAGAGAGAGAGAGAGAGAGAGAGGAGAGAGAGAGAGAGAGAGAGAGAGAGAGAAGAGAGAGAGAGAGAGAGAGAGAGGTGCGTGTTAGGTGCGACGAACCCTCCAATTCTCTTTCCGAAGTCGGAAGTCAGGGAATCGGAGAGGGGCTTCGTGACGTCACAACCAATGAGGAGACTTCCAACCGTGTCTTGGCGCCGCGGAGCCAGCAGGTGTCACGCTCCGCCACACCGCTACTACTACTACGACTACTATTATACATACTACTACTACTACTACTAAAATCAAGAACAATTTCAATAACAAAAACTACCATTACTTCTACTACTATTACTACTACCACTGCTACAATAACAACAATTACTACTGCTACTAATAGCACAACTACCACAACCACTACTGCTACTACTTAGCAACTATTGTTACTACTACTACTACAACTATTCATACAATAACAACGATTGCTACTAATACTACAACTACCCCAATCACCACTACTACTACCACTGCGACTGTTACTACTACTAATACAACTACTTCTACTACTCCTACACTAACAATTACTACAGCTGGTATTACTGGTACAACTACCACAACCACAACTACTACTACTACTTTCAATAACATTACTAATGCTCATGTTGCAACTACTAAAATTACACACGGCACAGCTACTTAGTACTACTACTAAGTTCAATACTACTACAGTTGCTACTTTGTCTACTACTTCCGTTACTACCTGCCCTATTACAACTACGGTTTCTCTCATTACTGCTATCATTCGTGTCATCACTACCTGTACTGCCACTAATAAATACCAATAAAATTACGTGCAGTTTTATTCGTCAACATAATCCCATGAAAACCTTAATAATACAATCAAAATACCCGATTTCCTGGTTTTTTCTTTCTTTATCGCACAATCACTGTTCTATCTCTTGTAAATAAATAAACAGATTATGGAGATCAGAATACATACCCACTTCCTGTGGGATACACGAGTTTTCCTCATATTTCTCACCTGCTTTCGTGCGCTGTGTCTGTGCCTCTTCCGGTCTCTTGATTGTCTTTGTCTGTCTGTCTGTCTGTGCATAGATCTGCTTGGTTCTTTCGGTCTACTGGTTAGTATAATTCATGTCTTTCCTTCGATGGTCTCTCTCTCTCTCTCTCCTCTCTCTTCTCTCTCTCATCTCTCTCTCTCTCTCTCTCTCTCTCTCTCTCTCTCCTCTCTTCTCTCTCTCTTCTCGTCTCCTCTCTCCTCTCTCTCATCTCCCCTCTCTCTCTCTCTTCTCTCTCTCTCTCTCTCTCTCTCTCTCTCTCTCTCTCTCTCTCTCTCTCTCTCTCTCTCCTCTTTGTGTCTCTCTTTCTTGTGTGTCTGTGTGTCTCTGTGTGTCTCTGTGTCCTCTGTGTCTCTCTGTCCCTCTCTGTCTCTCTGTCCTCTCTCCTCTCTCCCTCTCTCCCTCTCTCTCTCTCTCTCCCCCACACAACCCTTTTCTCCCTCCTTCCATCCCACTTATAAAAATCCCCCCAAAAACAGCCACGGGAAAACGGCGTACCAATCTCCACACCCTCACGTGGGCGTACACGATGGGCGTGAGGTAGTGTACCTATTTTTTTTTTTTTCTCTCTCTCTTTCATTCTTTCTTTTTTTGTGCGTGTGTCAAGTAAGTACAAAACACTTACAGACTACATAATTGTTCGGCGGTTGGTGATGTCGACGCTACGTGTAGGCCTAAAGGCATTCGTGACTCCTACCTTTTTTTGTTGTCTTTTTTTTCTTGTTTTTTTCTTCTTTTTTTTGTTTACTCTCGCGATCCGCGTTCTTGTTCATTTTTCTTGCGCGACAAGGGGAGAAAAAGTGCCGGTCATTTGTCTTTGTTCTTTTAGACAGTATAGAGGCCTCTCTGGCTGTAGCGTTGTATTGTTCGTGTTTTCATTGTAGTTTCGAGGGTGCGAACAGGCTGGGTTCTCAGTTTGGGAACATACGAACACACACACACACACACACACACACACACACAACACACGCACACACACACACACACAAAAACACACACACACACACACACACACACACACACACACACACACACACACACACACCACACAACACTGGTTACTATACCTTTGATAAGTAAACAAGAGATATGCATATAATAACGAACAGAAACACACACACACGAGGAGGGGGGGAGGGAAGAGAGGGAGAGAGGGAAAGAAGGGAAAGAGGGGAAAGAGGGAAAGAGGGAAAAGAGAGAAAGAGGGAAAGAGAGAGAGAGAGAGAGAGAGGAGAGAGACGAGAGGAGGAAAGGAGAGAGAGAGAGAGAGAGAGAGAGAGAGAGAGAGAGAGAGAGAGAGAAGAGAGAGGGGGGGGGGGTAGGTAGAACTCCTCACTCCTTCTTCCCTTCCCTTCCCCTCCACTCCCTTCCTTCCTTTATTTTTCCACCCCTCCCCTCCTACCCCTCTCCATTCCCCCCTCTCCCTTTCTAACCAATAACTTTTCACGCTTACCCATTACCTCTCTTTCCTCCCCTCCCACCCCTTTCCTTCCTCTCCCCTCCCCCACTTTCT